TTTTTTTTTTTTTTTACTCTCGTAAGAACTTCATCTATGTGTAAATAGTTTTCTTTGATCAGAACTTGCGTTGCTCCGCTTGAGAGACTAAAGCTGGAATATATAGTCCGTGGTGAAAAGAGGAATATATTTGAGCTCATCAAGAAAATAGCAGTAACACAAGGCCTGAAAGGTTTTTGGAAGGGAAACTTTGTTAACATTCTGCGCACAGCACCTTTTAAGGCAATCAATTTTTGTTCTTATGATACATATAGAAAGCAGCTTCTCAAATTATCTGGGAATGAAGAAACCACAAATTTTGAGAGGTTTATTGCCGGTGCTGCAGCTGGCATGACAGCTTCAGCACTCTGCTTGCCACTAGACACTGTGAGTGATACTTCATACATTTTTTCCGATTCTTTTCATAGTTTTTGGCCATATCTTTTAGCAATTAAATTTTTGTTGTTTTTCTTATAAATGAAACAACTTTGTTCTCAAGATGAAACTATAAATTGAACTGACAGTTCCAGGATTATAGCGATGTTGAAAATAAGCTCAACTTTTATGCATATAATGCTGTATTTTTATTTTTATTTTAAATTTAGTCAGAGTTAGGAACTTGAAATTATTTATGGGAATTATTTTTTACTGTTACGAAGTACAAGCACATTGGTTTCAAGCGTAAGTAATGGGACTTTCGACAATTTTGGTTGTTGGAAAGGAGATGGATTTTTGTCATTTGGAAGGAAGGAAAGGGAAATGAGGTGGAAAGTAATTTCCTTAATTTATTTTCAATAAAATTGGCAAATTCTTCACCACTTTTTAATGTGAAAATGCCAAAAATATATTTCTGTGACTTGAGTAAAGAATTTTTGAATGTTTCAGGTCCGGACGAGGTTGGTGGCACCTGGTGGAGAAGCACTTGGTGGTGTAATTGGAGCTTTTCGTCATGTGGTTCAAACTGAAGGGTTCTTTTCACTTTACAAGGGTTTACTCCCGTCTATCTTGAGTATGGCACCCTCAGGAGCTGTTTTCTATGGGGTATATGACATTTTGAAATCGGCTTATTTGCATTCACCTGAAGGAAGAAAAAGAATTCAGAACATGAGACAACAGGATCAAGAATTGAATGCTTTAGAGCAGCTCGAGTTGGGACCAATGAGGACTTTCTTGTATGGAGCTATTTCCGGTGCTTGTGCTGAAGCTGCTACCTATCCGTTTGAGGTTGTGAGGAGGCAGCTCCAACTGCAAGGCCGAGCTACTAAAATGAGTGCATTGGCAACAGCTGTCAAGATTGTTGAACGAGGAGGTTTCCCTGCTCTTTATGCAGGTCTTATTCCCAGTTTACTACAGGTATGGTTTATATTATGTGCATGTTTGGTAAGGAGGAGAGAGTATTAGGAATGAAAATAAGCTAAAATCTCGTTCATTACACTGTCAAATTCCTGTGTGCCAAACATGCACTATATAAAGTCTCCTCTGGCTTCTGATTATTATTTTTGCAAGGGCATTCACCCTTTTCGAAACTTAAAGACGGGAATAATTAAACTTGCATCTATTTAATATCTCCTATATGGCCAGTTTCAAGCATGTACATTTCTATATCGCTAGATTCCTTTGCACAGCTCTAACATGTTGGAGTAGCATCACTAATGTGAATAGAATCTTCTTTTGATCTATACAAGATATACACCAACCAACCGAGTTGTCCTTCATTTAATTTCTCTCAAATCCACATCATCTCTACTTGGCCTATATTCTTATTTAAAAATGCATAAAACACTTCCTCTTTGTTACGACATGATTCTCTATAGAGACTCATCTGCTATCCTTATTCCTACTATGGCTAAAAGGACATTCCATGTTCCGTCATAGTTGTACTTAACCTACAATTTTACGATTTATTTCCTTCCTACTCTCATGGGCTAGAACCATATCATCAACGAATAACATGCATCGAGGAGCCTTATCTTGGATATGGCCTGTTACCTCATTTGTTATTAAAGCGAAAATATAAGGACTTAAGGCAAAACCTTGATGCAAACCTGATACTGATAAGAAATTTTCTACTATTACCCCCACTATCTCACTTGTGACTATTCCATTGGGGATATACTTAATATATTGATTAATATGCAATCAATTATTTATGTGTCCCCATTATCTCAGTCTCACATATGACGGTTTCATTACATTTTCATCTGTCCTCTGGCATCTGAAGATCATTTAGCCATCATCGTGTATATTTGGCATTAAGGTTTCTTATATGGTGCACTTCATCTTATTCTTTGTTCATTATTCTTCAGGTGTTACCTTCAGCGTCAATAAGCTACTTTGTTTACGAGTTTATGAAGATTGTTCTTAAGGTGGAGTGAATCCCAACAAGTTCTGCAGCAGAGCAATTGGAATCATTCACATGTTGCAGTTAATATACTCTACAGTCTCAGCATCCTTAACTATTCATCTGCATTTGTTATACAACTTTTCCGAAACTTGGGATCATTTTCTACCATAAAATGAAATCTTAGTTTTGCATTTTCTATGTAATTCCACATTTTCATTGCGAAATAAAACCTGTACCAATGTATTATACATTCAAGTAACTGCAGTAGACCCATATTTTACTATTGAACAGCAGTTTCCTTCAATCATTATATAATTCACGTGTTCTTGAACTGTGAAGTATTCTTATCGTTATTCCAGTAATTTTGTATTTATTCATTTTTCTGATTATTACGTTTAAAGAATTACTAGTGGGAAAATGAGTCATGAAGTCACATATTCACGAATGTGGAGGGAATAAAGGAAAGAACACTAGGGTTCTACCTTCTATGGAAATTGTGGAATTTGAAAGTTAGATGAGTGTGGCTGTGGCATACTATAAGGTACAATAGTGGAATGTAAATGCTTATAGTTATTTCTTTTGTAAGTTTTGTGTATCAAACGTTTGACTTATAAAACTTTATGTTGTAATCTTATTCTATGAAGGTAAGGTGACGTCCCCTTCTTTTTAATAATCTATCAAGAAGGCATAAAACCTTTTGAGAGAATGATTTTTTCAAAGATAACTATGGTTAAAAATTAAAGAAAAATTGTGGGTTAGCATGTAAAGTTATTTTATTGAGAGAATATGTATTTTAAATTGAGCTTAAAGAAAAAATAAATTTTGAAATATCCATCAATTAGAGGCTTATTAGTGTTTGATATGTTTCTTTCTTTTACATTAAGAGGTGTCGCATTTTGAATGATTCGAGATTTGGAATGTTTATTATTACAATCATGCTTGGTGTGCACCAAAGCTAGACAATCATTTGACAATTTAATAAAAAAATAAAAATTTCTCAAACAATTTTTTTAACACAAGTTCAATATAAGTATGATGTACATTTTGGAGTGTACAAACGACATTTTCCTTATTATTATGTATACGAGAGTGTTCGTTTGAAACTTTTTTCCAAAATTTCATCTTCAATTTTCGTTCAAACTGAGTAGAGTAGAAGTCTGTAACTACGGACCTTTTTATGGTAAAAAAAAAAAAACCTAAAAACAAAAATTCTTGAGCCATGCTGAGTCACGTTAGCTAGGATTAAATAATAAAAATATTAAACTCATGTTTGAGCCACATTAAAAATTTCATTCTCATTTTTATACTCCTTTTTAACCACACATTCTTCAATAAAATAATATTTTTCATTACATTAATAACTTTTCATTCTTTTTCAACCTCACATTCTTCATTAATTTACTCTTCCAAAATAACGTGGCTCAAACACCCATAGACGATCGCTTCCCTCCTCCAAGTATGTGTTCTTGATTCCAGTTTACATTTTTTAAATTTTGTATTAATTGTTTCAGACTTAATAAATAGATTGACACCGGTTCGTATCAAAATCAACCCAAACTGGGGCATGTCTATGCATGCAATATTTGTTTGTGCATGCACTATCATTTTCCTGCGATTAGTATTATACTAGAGGTTCAATTCTTGTTTCCAAGTCTATATTTTATGCAAGCCCCCGTTTGTTTCTCATATTTTATCCATAAAAATGAAAAATATGATCATTATCCATCATATCGAACCATCAATTTTGAATTTCTATCTTTTGTGTGGGGCCCAATAACGGATATATTTTTCATTTTCATTCTTCAATAATTAGAATCAAACGGGCCCCAATTTACTGATTTGTTTAGCTTGAGTAGAAAAGTGACGCTGCATTTGACGCCATAAATTATTAGTCATTGATTTGAAATCAGGAATATAAAATTTTCCCAACATCAATTACGAAGGGCCCATTTGAATCTGCCAATATGATCACTGTGTAACTATCTCTTGGCATGGTATAGTTGTCATTACCTGTTGTTCTCTGATAAGGTCTAGAGATCCCCCGGAATTTTGGCATCGGGTTAAACATGATCAAGTTATTTATCTGATAGAGTTGATTAAGGTTGTTTGTCAGTGACAAATGCTCTGTTACTCCGTTAACACTGTTTCTGGGCAAATTTGTCTTAAGGAAAGAGTGTTATGAACAAAATGGAATGGAGTAATAGAATTTATTATTATTCCTCAAAATAAAATGAAGATGATCTTCATCATTTATAGATGAAGAAGCACAGTCGAACTAACCAAGAACTACTTTAACAAACTAACAGATAAAACAAAAAATGTGTGCTAACTAAAAACGTGAAAACCATACACGCTTTCCTTTATTCACTAAATGGACTAATGGAGTGATAACTAGCTGGGCTTCGATATTGGGCTGGAACAAGACCTTCAAGTCAGCCCAGTAGCAACCCGTCATCTTCACCAGGCTTCACCATAGCTATTCTCTTCATCCCCCCCTCAAGGTGGAGGTTGGTGGAGATCACCCAACCCCAACTTGGAAAGAAGACGAGAAAAGTGAGGAGCAGGAAGAGGCTAAGTGAAAAAGTCTGCAAGCTGAGAATGAGATGGGATGTACTGGGGAAGAATGAAACCTGATTAATAAAGATTTCGAACTAGATGACAATCAATTTCCAAATG